AAATTAAAGAAATATATAAAAAATCATAAATTTATTAAGAAAACTGATAGATTAATTAAGAAAAATAATAGCTTCTACAAAAATATTGCCTTAAGGAAGGAACGCATGAATCTTTTGGATTCCATAGAAATTTATAATAATAAGTTAATTGCAAGCAGGGAGTTGTATGACCGGGATACTAAAGAATTGCAATCTAAAATCATACAATTGCATGAATCAATGGGATCTTTAGAAAATAAATATTTCAATGCTCAGAGGCAGATTGATGACTACATTAAATCTGCATCAGATTTGGTGGAGTTATGTAAGTACTAATAGACCTTACTGTACCGTGGGAAACCAACATTCCAAAAGACCACAGAATAAAATTTAATAAATATTACGATCTAAAAGGCTATGTAGTTAATTTATATGCCGTAGAAGTAGCAGCGAGAGGGATACCAGCAAAATATCTCTATAAATTTTTAAAAGACCTAGGCCTGTCGAGAACTGCAGTAAGTCCAATTTTAGAACGAGCAACTAAGGCTGCACTAACAGGCTCCCATCAAATTTGGCTAGGAAGGTCGGACAACTCGAGCAGTGAAAGTGAGCGTTGATGTGCATCTTAAAGTGGGCCTCCTTAAACCTACACCTGGGTCGCAAGTCTCAGGTACTGTTCAGAGTTTCTCTCTCTTCCACACGATGGACCACGGTCGTATCTGCCAAGGAAACACTACGATGTAACTCGTGTAGTAAATTCTTTGATGATTAATGTTTAAGACTGTCACTCGATTCGTTCGCTAAGTTTACTCCCACCCTAAAGCAGCAGTGGCTATGTTCGAACTGTGTGAATGCATCGCGACGAAGACGGGGTGACAACACCAACACACACTCGCAGGAACATCGAATCACTACACGATACGGTCATGTCTTGCGATGAATCGCTAAGTGACACAATGAATATCTCACTCAATCCTGACAGTGAACCTCATGTCAAACCACCAATATCACCAATTCTCCTGTATCGCTTATCCAAATTAGTGATCTTTTGGATAAAAAAATGGATAAAATAAGGGACAGTTTGACGGATCACATTGAAAACATTATAAAGCGTGAAATGAACTCTGTTCTTTAGGAACGGAAAGGAGAGCTAGATTAAGCTTTCCATCACGTTCAAGCTCAACATAAATAACATGACCATCAAATAACAACCGCGTCCCTTAAGATAAAAGAGTTAGAGAGTGAAATAACGAAACTGCAACTTGAGCTTAACTCACAAGCCCAATCCTCTTTGTGTAATGAAGCTGAATTTTCCGGCATCACTGAGACTGTGCGAGAGAATCTCTTTCATAAGATATTAGTGCTAGCTCAAGGAATGGTTGTCAGAGTGGGGGCGCCACGACGACACTCGCCTGCCAGTTCCATTGACGCTGAAGCCAGACTAAATCACCCGAGGCCTGTTGTGGTTCATTTTACGCGACGTGCGTTGCCTGACGACTTTATTAAAGCGTACAGGAGTCGACGAAAAATATCTCTCAAATATTGAAATAGATGGCCTGGAAACTAAAATTTATGTGAACGAAAGAATTGACTGCTATCAATAGAAATTTATTTCGTTCGGCCAGACTTCCAGCAAAACAAGATAATTTTAAGCAATGTTGAACCAAACGGGGAATCATCTACGCACGAACTTATGGCGGAGCCCATGCCAAAGCAATCAAGAACACCGCGGACCTTGACAGAGTTTTTGGCGCTGCCGATGATAGTTTGGATGCACCAGAGGCAACGCATTCATCTAGTCCCACGAGTACCCTTATCCGAACATAGATTTCCATTATTTTATTCACTTTTACGATATCGGTGGCAACTTTCCCACTCAGCATCAAATTGCACAGTGAGGTAATGGCCTCAAGCAGAGACTCGCTGGCTTCACCACAGCATCCACTAGTAAGGTCCTTAAGGTGCTGTGGGGATAGGCCATCAAGGCCGCCCGCTGATCCTGGAAGAAAGGAAGAAAGTGGAGAGAGGACGGCACGTTTGAAGCGGTTGGTCTGCGAGGCCAGGTGCAGTGGGGGAAAGTTGCGTCATGGGCTGCAAGGTAGAGAGAGTCTCTGGAGAGTCCGGTGCCACCGCATCGCTAGAAAATAATAAACGCGCAGCACCCTTGATGTCGCCTTCACATAATATCTTATTTTCTTTATATTTTAATGGGTTACGAATTGAAGTTGGGGAGAAGGAAGCTGGGGATCGGAATAAGGTCGGATTTGGGTTGGTATTGCAATGGCGTTTAATAAGGGTCGTGAGCGACAAATCGCGGTCCGTACCTTTTGCGATATGAAGGACATGAAATGGAAAGGTTAGTAAACACTCCCAGGAGTGGTTTGAGTTGAGGCGTACAGTATCTCGAATGAGTTTAGTCAGGTGTTGGGCGACGGTAACTCTTGCACCCCTTGGGATACGTTTTAACACTGGGACATGGTGTTTTAGATGGGCAATTTGGAGCCAAAATGGTTCAGATGCGTGTAAATTGTGTTACGGACACGGATGGCGAACAGATAAAGAGGCTGGTGCTGAGCTATGGATATGGATACGTAAGCTTCTCTCACCTTTGAAAAACCGTGGCTGCGCGCAAAGCCTGCACTAGACATGGTTCTCCAGCGATGCGTTTGCAGAAGAAGTTCCTGCGTCTTGGCTTAGCATAAAACTTATCACTAATTTTAAATTAAATTCACTTATAAACTATTTCACTTAACAGAATTTGTAAAAAAAAGCGCTACAGAAATATAATATAATATAATTGGCGACTGTCAGTTTTGGCAGCAGCAGCAGTGCGCAGAATGACACCGCGCATCTTGACGGCTGGGTGCGCAGGAGGTCTTTGTAGAGATAGATAGATAGATTAACACTTTATTATAACACCAAATACATAATTCCATAACATTAACAAACAATAAACTTAACAAAAGCATTATAATTGGCATTATAAAGAGCTATGTCTTCTGGAGCGATGTGGTAACTAGGCAACTCGGGACTGCTTATAGTCTCCAGGGCGACCCTATGGCGTCGTGGTTGTCAAGTAGAGCAGCGCTGATCAACTGATTGCTTCAAAATTTTGGGGGCAAAATACGCCGCACGACACTGTCCACACACTCCGGGCAAGAGGCGGCCTCAACGGACGCCAACCACGGGTCCTTAGTGCCTTTGAAAAGGTCACGCTATTTTTATTTAATTAAAATTGACGCGCATGTGTGTTGTCAAACCGTCACCATTTTTTTTGTCCCTCAGATACAGGATTACCTAGTTTTGAGACTATTTTGTAAACCCTACATGTTGTGTAATCTTTTGGTAAAAAAAGAGTTATTATTATTATATTACCCTAAAAACTATTTGGTCAATCAAGTTTACATGCCTTAAAAATGAATTTACCGATTTCACCCATGTTTTTTAAATGGTTTTATACACTTCGTGGAAGGTTCGTAGGTAGAAATTAAGAAAAATTGCGCAAAACTAAAGTTAATGCCGACGAAGAATCCGTTGCCATTAATACTATTTTAACAAACAGAGTAACAGTTTACGTAGATATCTAATGTGAAAAAAAAAACAAAAGATAAACTAAAAATAACGCCATGACTCAACTCGCCCCATCAGACACGAAATAAACGCAAAAAAAGGAAATCGCTCAGAGCCAACAAACACAAAGGGCCGCCGACAGCAAAGAGGCCGAATACGTTTTAAAATACGAAACGCAATGGGAAACCGTTACACAATCGCAAAATTTCAAGCTACAACAAACAAACGCGCCAAAATTCCTTCATTACAACCAACAATGCCTACAGACGGCTACATACAAATAACTCCCAACGTCCAATTTAAATAACAGGCTCGCAAAGCTGAAAAACAACCCGTAACCGAAGTTGGGAATAAATTAGCGGGGGTAGCTAAAGCCCCCCCTTCCCAATGTGTACATTGTGCAAAATATTATTTGCCTTGCCAGACAATAATAGGATCTAATGCCACGCCCTGACATGTCAGCTTTAGTTGACTCCGCCCAGCATCGGCTAGTCTCCCATTGGCTTGCGACGCTCTCCTTCTCTGTTTGCTTTGTGCCCCGTCCCTTTCTCTCGTGTAGCTTTTTCCTCGACGCCTGAGGGGTAAATGTTTTGGTAGGCAACATATACGAAGGTTTTCTAGAGTCCCGCGCGCATTGTCAACGGATATCGCTCACGGATATTTTTTACGCTCGTTTTATTTGAAGATGTCTTACCTGAATGGAGTGCTAGAATTCGCTTTATGAGATTTTTTTGCTCAATAACATCGTGCCGTTCGCTTTGTAAAAAAGGATCATAAGTCGTACACGCCTCTACAAACAGTTGATTTTGCCAGTTCCATGAAGTTTTTTATTTAATATTTCTTAGATATTCGAAATCATCATCTTTTTTGTGAATAACGATTCGCTTCTTAGAATTTTCGGTCGAGATAAAATAAGAAGAGTACAAACATTTTTTCTAGGTATTTATATATATATATATTATCATTTGTGTTTCTTTGAAAATTGTCGAAAAATTACAAATGAGAATAGAATTATTTAAGCAGATTCTGTAAACGGCTTTTTATTCGTTTAAAAACAAACGGAATTTTGTAGTATCTCATAAAAAAATCGAAACTTCGATAATCAAAAGAACAAGAATCGAATAAAGTAGAAACTTTACCTTAGAGCCTTAGCTCAAAAGAAAATCTTACGCATTCGGGCGGTGAGAACATACAAAAAAAGTCCAAACAAAATTAACAACACAAGTAAAATAAAAGGCGTCCCATCCAAAATAAATACCGCGACAAAGTTGAATCGATAAGCACCAAGCGGACTAATAATTATTAGTCGACGGCCTGAAATTCATGCACAAAGCTCCGACCCGCAGTAATAATAACGACAATTGTTGTGTTTACTGGAACGTAAACGCGGCCCCCTTCCCCCTATCAATAGGCGGAGTCTGCAGGGGCAGAGCCTCGGCCGTGGGGTGCCGCCGCAGTTCGCGCCGCGCCACGCGCCACAACGCACCTCTGACATGTGACGGTACAGCATGGAAGATTGTGATCTCGCCCAATACCGCGACATGATCATCGAAGGTGACTTACCGCTGGACTTGCGCCCACCACCCAGGCTTTACCTGCCACATTTCCTACGCGACGAAGCTGCCGAATATCCTCAAGACGACACTTATGTGTCCGTCGACGAGGACACACCAGAAGTGCCACCGCCATCCAGCGACTCCGACAGATTCGAAGCCTCCAGCCCGTGCGACACCAAATCCAGCTCGCCTAAGAAATCCAAGCAGAAGTCATCGTCGCAGCTCATCAAACCGCCTTATTCTTACATCGCTTTGATAACAATGGCGATATTACAATCTCCACATAAAAAATTGACACTGAGCGGGATATGCGAGTTCATTATGACCAGATTCCCTTATTACAGAGAAAAGTTTCCCGCTTGGCAGAATTCTATAAGGCACAACTTGAGTTTGAACGACTGCTTTATTAAAATACCGAGGGAGCCGGGAAATCCGGGGAAGGGGAATTATTGGACTTTGGATCCGCTGGCGGAGGACATGTTTGACAATGGAAGTTTTCTGAGAAGACGGAAGAGGTATAAGAGGCCAGCGCCGTCTTTGCAGCACGCCCACGCGGTCGTGGCGATGCTGGCGAGGGAAGCGTATGCTCCTCTTCTTCCTTTACCGTGCTATCTTCCTCCAACACCGTTGTTGTCATTGCCGCGTCCTCCGCCGGCGGCGCTCCGTCCCGTACCCCTGCCGCCGCGCGTAGCAGAAACAACCGAGCCAAGAAGCAAAAGGTCGCGCAACGGCTTCTCTATCGAGTCCATAATCGGTTCACAGGACAACGCAGTGACGTCAGAACCACGGAGAAGTGCGTTCTCACCACTCCACCAGGCTAATGGCCCTCCCGACGACTGGAGGTGAATGTACGCCAGCGGGTGCTTGCCGAGTCTATCCCCTTTTTGATCGCCCAGACAGACAGTTCGTGACCTCGCTGAAATACTGTTGTGCTAAAAGTGTTCTAGTGACAAAGTAAGATAATAACAACTGTATAAATATTGAATAAACTCGACGGGTATGAAAGCTTCAACCAAATATTAAAATAGTGTTAGTTATAATATTGACCAAGCCATTGTAAAGTTATAAAAATGTTCCGTTCTTGTAGTTAAGGTGGAACCTGTAAGTATAGTCTGAGTTTTGTTTACGCATGCCTTAAGTAACAAGTTACCGTTATTTATTTCACAGTTTTATCAATTTGTATTTATGAGTTTCGCGTCCGTATTTGATAAAGAACATATAATTCCATCAATAGGTATTACATAGGTATAAATTAAAAAGACGCTGCTTTTTATTAAAATGACAGATATCAATATATGTTTTCATTCGATTTTGTTTGTTTAAGTGACTGTTATTTTATCCTCCCGGATAGCGAAAGATGCAATTACGAATACCGTCTGAAACCTGAACTAACTGGATTATTCTCTACTATACTATTAAGATTTAAACATCTAGCAGTTAAATGCTTAAAAAATAAATATATAATACACTGTTATTTTATTAAAAAGAAGCGATAGGAAAAGGTCTAGTCATTTTATGTACAAAGTAGTTATAAAACTTGTATTTTAAATCATGTAAATATATTTTTTATTAAGTAGCCATTATAGGTATGCAATAATTTATGGCGTAGAAAATTGTAAACCTAAGAGAAAACCTTGTACCATCTTTTTTGCTGAAACATCATTTATTTAAGTACCTAATTGCATGATATCTCAAAAGATCTGATGATTTTGTACTGGTAAATAAAATAATTGCGAACAAAAGTATAATGCAAAATAAAATAAAAACTGGTATATTTTTGTGTAATAATAAATAATTTTTAAGCCGTACAATTAAACATGAAGAAATAAAATCTTTTTTCTTTTATTTGTCACCGCAACTCTACATAAACGAAGGGTCAAATATTTCCTTCATTTATAAATTTTTCGTAATATGCGTGAAACTCAATGGTTGCTAGATGTAAAAGTAAAATAAACGTATCCATTTACGTTGGTACCTATAGTAATTTATGTTGGTACAATGTTTTTTGCGTGTCTCTAAGATTTCGGCACTATTCCAAGCGCCATAATCACGGTTCATGGCGCTTCGTGATCAGTTACTCCGTGATCATGACGCTTGCAACAGTGCCGAAATATCGGAGACTCGCAAAAAATTAGATATATGGTAGCAAAACCATAAATAAAATACATTATTATAATGTTTGTGACCATGAACGTAAAAGCAATATGAACGTATCCATTCATCCATTTAAATTAATTAAAGTTTTTCATTTATGTGACTTGGTGTAACATTTTTAATTGTTATAATGGAAGGATGGAACACAAGCATGGGCAAATAATCATATTACCAAAAAGTAATGCCAAATATCTTTATTTGCATTTGGAAAAGTGACGCAGCAAGTGCATTCAAGGAGACTAGCACGCGTGATCTTAAGAAGATAATGAGGGAAAATATGTCTTTTAGAGCATAGCTGATTGCTTGATCGAATTGAAGCGCTCGGTAAACAACTCTAAATGTTAAAAGATTCGACGAAGTTGAGGAAAAAAAAATATTTCTCCATTTTTTCTTTAAATTGGTTTTTAAATTTATATTCGTATTAAAAACAATCAATTGTATTTATTTCTAACCTCTGATAAATGTGCTTTTCAAAAATATATATTACCTTATACCTTTCATTTCAAGTTTTAAAACTATTTCACGTTGAAAAACGTAAATGAAGAACTTAATATTTCCCAGCTGCCTAAACGTTTAACTTTGCTACATGAAAAAAAATACTTTTACGAAATAAAATATGAATTACGCTGCAGAATATTAAACTTAGACTTTTGAATTATTAAATTATATTCATATATTACCCAAGTTCAATCAGTAATAAAAATCAATTTTGATATGCGTTTGTTCTACTATATTCCACCGTGCGATGCTTTGAATTTAATGTTAAATTATAGGTTAGTTACTCATCTAAAACATATAAAAAAATTAGCTGCGGCTTTTTGCGGTTTTCGGAGATATGTGAAAAAATCGAATACTAGTCTGGGAACGGAAATCGCTATCAAATGCGGTTTCGTAGTTTACTTTTATTATCAACAGTTTGTGTTACATTTTATGAATTAATTATTTGATATTGTTATGTAGGTTTTATCATTTCGATGTCATTTTCCGTGAGAAAATAGATATCTGAAATAATTCTCACATTCTGAAACAATATAAAAAGGGCAGTGAAAAAATATGTCTCCATTACCGTTTCAGTGGTCTTTACGTCTACGTACTTTAGTAGGTACGGTTATTTCATTATTCAACATGTCTACTTTGGAGTGAAGCAGGACGCAATAAAAATACCTTTTTAAGAAAGAACACCAATTGGTTGGATTCTGAATATTCGTTAACTATACCAACATCAGAAAACGTGTCAACAGACTCTACACCGTCTACTTCTTCTGGTAAACGAGGAAGACCGTGTGTGTCATATGGAGACTCTTCAGAATCAAGCAAAAAAAAGAAAAAACACCATTTTGCTAAATGAATATGGTTTGGATCACATTCTAAGCGCACATCTTCAAGGATTGCGTTCTATAGGAGAAGGAATTGAAGCAAAAGTTGTTGAAAAATTAAGGTTGGCTGATGCAGAGAAAAAGGTTTTCGTTATAAATCAATTAGATGATGCAAAAATAATTAAAGGGCTTACAGATGAAGAAGCATTAAGTGTCTTCATCGACTTGGAACTAACAAAGGCACAATATCTGTATCTCAGGAACGTTACAGATGAAAGAAACTGTTCTTTATTTCCACCATACTATAAAATACAGGAAATGAAACAGAGGTGCTATCCACCATCATCAACAATCGAAATCACAAATACTTATGAAAAAATATTGAGAGTTCAAGATCTATTGGATCACACTGCAGCTCGAATTTTATCAATAGATAAGGTTTACAAGAATGGACAGAAACATTTACTATTGTATAGCAAATGGGGTTGTGATGGGTCATCTGGACAAAGCCAGTACAAGCAAGCACTACCAGAGGAGTCTGAACTTATTTCCGATGCAAATTTATTTATTACTTCTTTTGTGCCTATCAGATTAACTGACGTGGAATCAGGCGCCATCACATGGCAAAATCCAGTGCCTTCATCTGTTCGTTTCTGTCGGCCTATATTTATAGAATTTTGCAAAGAAACGCCAGAAAAAACTAAATCGGTTGTAGATGAAATAAAAAATCAAATACAAACTTTGCTTCCATCAATAATTAATATAGAAGGCGTGGGAGTCCAAGTCAAGCATGAACTCTTTTTGACGATGATAGACGGAAAAGTGGCACAAGTTTTAACAGATACGCCTTCTAGTTCCACATGTACAATATGCGGAGCAACTCCTAGACAAATGAATGATTTAACGAAAGTAATAGCTAGGCCTGAAAATGTAAATGCTTATCAATATGGATTATCCACTTGGTCTCTTTAAGAAATATGTGTCTAACCGTGTACAATGTGTAAAGATTGGGAACCACATCAGTAATGAGCTACCGATAAAATACGGCGTTCCCCAAGGGAGCATAACTGGGCCTACACTATTTCTCTGCTATATAAATGAACTATGCCAGTTAAAGTTGAGAAACTGTAGGATAATTTCATATGCAGATGACACTACACTTACCTTCTTCGGAGACACTTGGGATGATGTTTATTCAGCGGCGCAAGAGGGATTTAACCATGTTCTGCATTGGCTTGCTAGCAACTCACTCTCCTGAATTCCGAAAAAACTAAATACATTGCCTTTTCACTTCGCGCTTCTCCTCCTTCCGTTATGCAAAATATTATAATTGCTCATACCTGTTCGTATCCTCCGCAACCTTCGTGTAAGTGCGATAAAATCAATAGCGTCACGAGCATAAGGTATCTTGGCGTGACTATTGATAGAAATCTCACATTTGTGGCACATATTCACACAACGTCGCAAAGAATTCGCAAACTTACATATATATTTAAACAATTGAGACGTGGTGGATTTTGAAACTGTCAGATCAGTATATCTTGCATTGGTCCAGTCGGTAATCTCATTTTGTATAACATCATGGGGCGGAGCAGTAAAAACTAAGTTAATTGAAATCGAAAGAGCCCAGAGATTAATATTAAAAGTAATGATGTTTAAGCCAAAACTGTTTCCCATTACTGATTTGTATGCTGAGGCAGGGGTTCTATCTGTTTGGAGGTTGTACATACTTCAAACCATTCTTAGACAGCATTCTTTGACACCATATACACCTGTTACCTCTGTCAGTAGAAGGCACTTTAATATTGTCCCTCCTGTATACTTCCGAACTTCTTTTGCGAGGAGGTTTTTTTGTTATCAAGGTAGTAGAATGTACAACTTTGCAAACAAGATTATTAACATTTATTCAGACACTAAAGTAGAATCTAGGCGAAAAATTATTGCATGGCTTCTGAATTTAAATTATGATGAAGCCGAGAACATACTAATTTAGAACGTAACTACACTGGAACTGCGAAAATATACCTACTAAGTCAAAAATATACACACAATCCAACATGTACACTTACCAAAAACTTGTTTTTTATATTGTAATTGATAATTTCATTTAAACTTAAGCATTTTTGTTATATGGATTATTATAATTTTAATAATTTTGCAGGGATATGGGCTGGGGGGCTGGTGTTCTATTATACAGGCAGTTTACTGCCCAGTTTAGACACCAGTCTCTCCACAATATATTACTGTAAATACAAATAATATTTTATGTCTGTAACAAAATATTTGTATTGTGGTGAGAATAAAAATAAACATTATTATTATTATTATATTATTGCATGCCTGGATTCGTTGCATGGAAATGATATTACACATATCATATAATCTATCTTTCCAAACGTGGTCTGCTACAAGCGAAGAAAAAAAAAAGACTCAAACAAGAAAAAAAGGCTGAAGTACAAAAGCGATTTCGTAAAGAGTTGGGTCTAAATATCGATAAACCACGACACCCCTGTCGTGTCGGGAAATAGTAATGATGGCAATACTGCTAGGAGATTTTTTTACAATGCTGCCTGTTCTGCTGATATCACAGGGATTGACATTGATTTAATTAAACGGTTATATATAATTTTGCAGGCTTTGTCATCTGGTATAGTGGTAGATAGTAAGAAATTTGGTAATTATGCTCTGGAAACTGCAAGAATATACGTGAGTAAATATAGTTGGTATTACATGCCATCATCTGTCCACAAAATTTTAATTCACGGAGAGAGTATCATAAACCATTTCGCGGTATTACCAATTGGGCAACTTTCAGAAGATGCTCAAGAATCTCGCAATAAGGTCTATAAAAATTTCGCTTACACCATGCTCGGAAATGCTCTCGAATAGCTACAAACGAAGATGTGTTTAATACACTACTTTACACTTCAGATCCATATATAACGAGCATAAGAAAACCATATGCAAAAAATGTAAAGGAGCTCGATGAAGATACTTTACACCTTCTCAAGGTTAATGAACTTATTTCAAATCCTGAAGCTCACCGGGTGTAAGATGTCAATCTTGCTGAGCAAAAAAAAAGAAATATATATTGCGATAATTTTGATTTGTTTCTGTATGTTAGCGTAGTGTTAAAAATATTTTACCATTTTTAATTTTATATTATCAATATATATTATTTATATTTTTATTTGATAGTTATCTTAATAGAGTAATTAGCATTAAGAAATAGACGTACAATATGTTTCTAAAAAATATTTCAATAAATAAATAATACTAATAATACTATTTTAAATCATTTAAAAGCGTTGGAATTGTGGCCACAGTTAGACGGTGACAACGTAGGCCAGCGCG